AAAAATAAGAACCAAGATGCATTATGTAAAGGTACAATTCCCAATGAGAAATGTAATTGTGTTGTATACCTATAATGTACCAATAAAAGAATTTAATACAAAAGAAATTCTATCAAGTTAGAGAAAGAGATGTATGACTGTCAGGGGATGAAAGGGAAGAGGAGAAGTGAAAAATTATAAAAATACAATGAAATATATTGGGGAGATGCATATTTAATTACTTTAAATGTGGTAATGATTCACAGGCATATATATATCTATGTTAAAACCAACTCTATTCTTTAAATATGGGCAGTTTTTTGTATATCAAATGTGTCTCATTAAAATGCTAGAAACACATATGTATACACAAAATCTGACTTCGGTAACTCCATGGCTAGCACTCTTTTTTCAAGTATCATTAAGTCCTATCTGGGTAACTTCAGTAATTGGTCCCTGGTTCCACTCCTGTCCATTTATGTGTATGTTCATCTCCAAGACCAGAGTGATAGTCCTCAATTAAGTCACCTCCTCTGTTTAATGGCTATTTCACATCACTTCCCCTGTTTAATGGCTCTCTGTTTCACTCAGTGTAAAAGTCAAAAGCCGTACAATGGCTTGCAAGGTCTTCCTGCTCACTTTGATATTATCCATTCTCTTGTAGCTGCTTACTCCACTCCAGAAACTCCAGCAATTCCCTTACTATCATTTTAGAATACCTGATGTGCTCTTGCCTCAAGGCCCTTTGCACTTGTCCCCCACTTACTCATTGTACACATTTTCCTTCTTCCTTCTGCTCTTGTCAGTGAGAACTCTGACATTCCTACTTTAAACTACAACCTTCACATTTCCCTCTCCCATTCCCTATCCATGCTTTGTTTTTCTCCATAGCACAGCGCACATCTGACATAAGAAATTTTACACAAGTAAATAAAATGTTAGCTCTCTGCAGTAAGGATTTTTATCTGTCTACTGTTATGTCTCAGAATCTGAATACTGTGACACGGTAGCTGACCAGTAAATCTGAATTAGCAAACAAGTATGCACTGTGTCTGTCTTCCCTGCCACAGGCAACACTCCTCCACGGAATACACTGCATGTCAGTGCCTAGCACAGCACCCACTATGGAGAGCAGATGATCAGCATTTCCCCCATGGGACTGATGCTCACAAATGAACCACTCTTGTTCATCTAGACAGGCTGCTCCTCATTGCTCCTCTTTACAGCAGCATCTAGGACTAGAACAAGACCAAATTCTTTAGACAGAGAAAAATGTTTGCTCAGGCTTCTGTAAAATATTGCACAAACAGTGAGACACATATCCTAGTCCCACCTTCTGATCATCAGTTGTTCCCTGAACTCTCTCCTGCTGTATTCCTCAAGAGGTACAAGCTCTAGACCATTTTTTTCCTCCGACAGCAAATCCTCAGCCTCAAACCACAGATTAGTCAGTCTCCTTCCACTCTCTCCACTCCAGCTCCCTTCTGTGCTGCTGTACTCTCCCCTTCAGTCTGAAACACATTTCCCTATGCATCACATGCAAATGTTCTCCTCATGTCAAAGCTCCAAAGCCTTATTCCTCGCCCAGGGCTTTGCTAGCTACTCATTCCTCTCTTCCTGTAATTACCACTTGGGTTACTCCATTTATATAACCCCTAATTATACAATCTGTTGCATTCTAAATGCTTACTCCTACTTTCTCACCTACCCTGTGGTACTCTGATATCTCTCAATGCTCTAAGCCTAGTGCTGAGTACATTGTGGTGTCTCACAACAATGGATAGCTTTCATTTCAGAAACAAAGGGGACAAGGGTGGGAAGCCTGCAAATTAGATAATCCAAGTAAGAACCGAGAAGGAAAGATTACAAATAGGATATTTTAGGGCAAAGGGGTGGGCTGTAAATGCCATTTTTATGGAGAGAAGCAATGGGAAGTCTGGAATAGGATTATTATGAAAATGGACAGAGATATATAGTGAAGGGATGATAGGATACTTGGCATTGACACTGGTGGGTGTACTATATTTATTTTTGACATGACTGTTTACAAATAAAGGACTGTGATATGATTGACCATCTGAATTAACCTCTCTGGCCAAAGTTGTTAATGAAATAACGCCTTCTAATGTTAGAAACCCAAACAAACAATCTCCATGAAACTCAATACAGAATATATAAATAACTAGGATACAATAATAATATTTGTTAAGGATTATAAGATTTATAGAAGCTTCATTACAAACTGTGACTTGGGCAGATTAATACAAAACATCACAAGGGTATGAGGTACAAAAAATGAATATTTAAGACCTCTAAGAAAGTGCCTTTGCTAATTAACTTATAAATGGCTTTTCATAATATCTAAAAGACAGCAGTTTTACTTAAATTTATATAAGTTGTACAGAAGTCACTGACATTTCTCAGAAAAAAATATAAGAAATTCAAGTGGAAAGTGTCAAGAGTTAATTCAGATGGTTAATCATATTTGAATGAGCAAAATGTCACAAACTGAAAGGCAGGACCGTAAAGAAATAAAACAAGCCCATGTCCATTTACATGGGTACAGCAGACTCATTCAAAAAGATCTTAATTCATCCTTCAGAGAAAGGCCAAAGGCTTTAAATGAACTTGAACATTTGGACTGAACATTCTAGTGAATTTATTTTTAGAAGGTTCATCGCTTCTCGGCCTTTTGGCTAAGATCAAGTGTATTTTTAGAAGGCTCTTAAGTGCTCTATGTGCAAAAAAAGAAGCTGAGCTATCCTGACAGCCTTTAGAAACAGATGCTGTGAGGCTTACTGGACTTTAATCTGGAGGGCAAGGTACAGATCTGTGCATTACTTGAAAACAGCTATCCAGATGGGTCAGAGTGGTGTGTGGAAGACACTCTTATTTGCATAATATCTAATAAGAAGTTCTAGAAAATTTTTATTAAACACCTTCAAAGATACTGAGAACACTGTTCCCAGAATGTAATAATAGGGTCATATTTTTTGGTTGTTTAAACAGTCTGTCTTCATTCTTTCATTAAAAAAAAAATGCATAATTTGTGATTGGAGATCAGCTCCTTGGGGCCCAGTGACTAAATGATCTATTCTGTAAAATTTCAATTATTCTGAATTTGGAATTGAACATATTGGCAGATGGAAACCAAAGTCTGAGAGACCTGGGGAATGTGCTCGCTGGGCGGGACAGGCAGAGGGAGAGCGCAAGAGGGGCAGAGTTGAATCAGTTGAATATGTTTTGGCACTGTGTCTGCCACATACCACACTTGGGGACACAGGCCAAGCCACAGCCTTTCAGATGTTGTTTTTCCACTGGTAAAACAGGGGTCAGAACACTGGTCTGCCTCTCTTCCAGGGATATTGTAGGGATCAAATGCAATAATGTGGGCAAATGTGCTTTCAGGCCATAAATGCAGTTATACAATTAGCAGCAGGGCTTTTCTCTAAAAAGAAAACTACAAGATGGCACCTTACCAAAGAATCCGTGGACACTGTATCTAGTCAAAAAAAAAACAAATAAAAATCCCTAGGAGCTAGGAACCAGGAGACTTAGGTCTTGGTGCTGGTGCTGATATAAATGTGTGCTTTGAAATTTGCACAAGGCCCCTCTCCTTAGTTTTCTCAACACTAAGAACAGAGGGCTTATGACTCAGTTTTCTAAGATATCTTCTAGATCATGATTCTGTAACCCAAGGTCCACTACATGCCTTTCATCTATAGAATGAAATACCATCTTGTGAGATACTGCGTGGTTCTGACAATTCCTGTAAATTACTGTCATTTCAACCAGAATTTCTGAAGTACAAGAGACAAATTATGCTTCAAACTGTGAAGGGATATAGCAGGGCTAACTTTAACTAATTTTCCTGAAGGAAATTCAGCAAAAATTGTGTGGATCTGTGTGTGAGCATGATGGGAGGGGAGGGACACAGATACCCAAGCTGTTCATGCCATTACATTCATGGTGTCTTTTCTTAGTAATACAATGAATATAAAGTCTGGGCTAATATTAGGTCCCAAAGATAATCTGAAATGATAAAAACAGAGCTATTTTGAGAAGGTTTCTGATGCAAAAATTTTTTTTTGGAATAGAAGAATTTTTATTCACATATTAAATGACACAAGAAGTACCAAATAAAATAGAATTTTGTGAAATAAAAATCCAAAATAAATAACTCAAACACATTAGGCATTTATAGAATATATAACGAGGGCCGGGGATTTAGCTCAGTGGTGCCCTCGCCTGCATCACAAGTGCAAGGTCCTGAGTTCAATCCCCGCTACCGAAAAAAAGAAAAGAAAATATATAACGATAATGTTCTGGGTATTAGCTTTTTTTTTTCTTTAATGCCTTAAAAATCAGGATTTCATAACTTTATTTTTACCACATCATTCACTTGTTTTCAGTTAATGTTATTTCAAAATGTTATCAAACACAAGTAAATGACAAAATAGGTCCTCTAAAGTTTAGTCTGATGTTATTTTACTTACATATTATTTCTTATGGCTTCAGAATAATATGCCTTCTCAATGTACAACCACGAAAACATTCTGCTTAAACTACCTAGACTCTTAAGAACCAAGTATGTGAAATCTAACTTGTAGTGTGATCACATGTTATAGAAAAGGAAGTGGAGAAATTATCCGTAAAAAAACCCAACTCAACTCTTTATCACTGCAAATTACTTAGAAGAAGTGGCTTACTGTGTTCTAGACTGTGAGTCTAGTCTGAAATCCTGGGACTTGCTCTTATTGACTGACTGCTGTGGAAGAAGAAAAACAAGTAGTAAGTCAAAAATGAGGGAAGGCAACACAGTCAATATTCACATGCTGAAAACCCACTAACTTCCTGAACTAGAATGTCTGAATCTGTCCTAAATGTATCTATCACGATAACATATTTGCTCCTGTAGGAAACTAAGGAAGTAGTTCTTCAGGAAGTTTAAGCTCTCTTTATAAACAAAGTTAGTTTTCAGGCGTGTGCTGAAAAATGTGGGTTATCAGCCCAAATTAATCTCCTAGTACTATACGACATATAACTTAAGTTCTGAACTTTCAATATCATATGCTTCTTTTGTAATCTTTTCAATATACTCTGTATTTTTATAGTAATACTTATTGAACTCTATGCAAGATTTTGAATATGAAAGCTCTTTAAATATTTTATAATATTTGTTTAATATATCTTGTTTTTTTCTGGGATCTTCATGAGGCAAACAAACTAATAAATACTTTCAGTGATACCAAGTTGCATTAGACGTTTCCTCTAGAATAGTGCCAAACGAAGCATACTGCAGTAAATAGTGTTTGATATGACAATAGAATATTGCAGAAATCAAGCCACTGTTGCTTAAAATAGACTTTAAAGGTTTCCAAGAGATAATAAGATGTCATGGAAAGGGTCCATTTAATATTCACAAAGAAAATAGTTACTATTTTAAAGTTTTGAATTATGCACAAATGAAAAGATAGATCTATATAATTGTTTAAATTAAAAAATTCAGAAAACAAAAAACCAAAATCAAATGAAAGGAGTATAACTTTCTCTTTCAGTCTTGTTTCAGTAACCATTTTTTCCCAGTGTTATCTCTACTGATGCTCGTTTTGTCCTTTTAGATTTCCTCCTTCACAATCAGATTTCTGCAAGATTATTCTTCAGCAAGATTTGGGACTGAGTATTTTTAAATATTATGCTGCTTATCATAAAGACTCAAGAAGATACTTGCTTTTATAGACCACAATTATGTGTAAAGTTTAAAGTCAAGCATTATTTTAATAAAGTCAAGAATTAGAGAATGAGGAGACCTGGCAAAAGGTGGGAGTTATAAGTTACTCCAAAACGAAAGAAACAATGACACCTTGATTTTTCACTCCTTGTGAAGTTGTTTAGACTCAGTTTTGGAAAAAAATGTATACAAATGAAAATTTTCAAATTCAAAGACTAATTGAGTCTACCTACCCTCAAGTGAACAATCAAAGAAAATCATCAAATCTTAACTCAGCATTGAACACAACAGAATTTTTTCAGTTTCTTTACAGGCTTGCAAAATAAATTCCACACACAGTAAAAATTAGAGGTTGGATGCTTTATTTGTGCCTAAGTATTATTTTTATCTTTTCCCAGGGCAAGACAAGTACCTTACCAAAAATATATGTATGTATATGAACTATTGGATTAAAAAAAAAAGAACTCAACATACAGCTCTAAGCAGAAATTCTCATCAGTTTGAATCTAGTTTTAGAGGTTAAGGGCAGAGAAGTCAAACTGAATTATGCCTCATAAGCCAATGAATGTTATCTGGTGCCACATTCAGGTCTTACTGAGCCTACTCATAAAAGAGTCTGCTCATTTAAAATGTATGCTGTGATGGCCTCAGAAAGTTTGTTTAATGTAGGTTAAAACTTCTTCCTACCATCTTTCTTACTGTATTATTATATTACTTTATTACATATTATAACTGGAATACCCAATTCCTTTTTTATGATACAAAGAACTCTTTGCCTGTGTTCAAATCCTATGTATCCTAAATTAGTAGGGGATCCATATTTCAAAGTTTTAACATTTATCTGAAAAGGTCACCTTTAATCAGGCCCAATATTTCACTTCTAAACACCTTTACTCATTCATTTCTTGGTCTCAGCAGTAGCATGTCATAGGGGTAGTGACTCATGGAGGCAGAGGAGGGGGAAGGAGGTGTTGCTGTGAGCTTGTTTTAATTTAGCTTTAGACAAAAAGGCCCCAAGGCTGGAACACAATCAGCCCACAACACACACACCCCCCCCCCCCCCGGCGCCAACAAAGACAAGGAGCATGAGTGCCCTTATTTCCCTCCTTCCCATACACAACCCTCAGACATTTGTTTTGTGACTTCATTTCCTCTTCATGGCTACCCCTGACGTGGAGAGGAGGGGATGAAGACAGGAAGATAAGCAAAGCAAAGATGACAGATGAAAGGACCAGGCTATAGAGACTCCCACTTCCTAAACACTCACAACTTCTAGGGATGGTTTTCATTTACATGAAAAGAATGATTAATGGGATGAATGTAAGTGCCTCTCCTAATGATGTGGAGATTTATCGGTGAATAGCTTTGTAAGAGAGATGGACTTTATTTTTTGAGACAGGGTCTTGCTATATAGTTCAGGCTGGTCTTGAACTCACTATGTAGCCCGGGCTGGCCTCAAACTCATGGTGATCTTCCTGCCTCAGCCTCCCGGATGCTAGGATTGCAGGTGTGTGCCATTACACTCAGGAATTTTCAAAAACAGGACTCAAGAAAGGAAAAATGACAACTAGGGTTGATGATTAAATTCTAGTCTTGGTTCTGTCATTAACTCTGTGTGGCTTGAGTAAACCACTTACCCTCTTTGTGTGTGTGTGTGTGTGCACGCGCGCTTGTGTTTCTTGTTGTTACTGTTTACCTGAAGAGAATATGGAAACTCAAAATAAAAGCATAAGCTATCATAGTACCTTTCTTTTAATTTATAGATGAGGAAATGTAGGCCCAGAGTTACCATGAAAAAACAGAAGTAGTCTGAATGTTACACTAGCGTTTTTCCTTTTCTTTCTTTTTTTTGAGACAGGGTCTTACTATGCAGTTCAGTGAGTTCTTGAACTCACTAAGTTGCCCACACTGGCCTTGAACTCTCAGTCCTCTTGCCTCAGCCTCCTGAGTGCTGGGATTATAGGTATGTGCCACTGCACCCAGCTTTACACTAGAAAGCCTCATATATAAACATGTGAAAGTGGAAGAAGTGGATAAAACTAGGCTTGCAAGGACTGGCACCCAGTCTCCTAGCCCTATAATTGATTTTTTGACTTAAGAATTTATTATTGATGATGTATCTGATTTTAGTCTAAATCTCCCAATTATAATACCCATCTTTTAGAAAAAAAGCACAAGAATTCAATCTTTTGCATTGAGATGTAGTTTCTAGAAGATTGTATCAAACAATAAAGATCATTTTGATTCATGACATTGTAGTTTTGGATATTAATTGTGCCAACTGAAAAAACCAACAACAAATACATCTGGAGCCTCATCTATGAGAAAGGCACTGTGCCAGATGTCCCGGGGATGCAACACTGAGTGAGCAGGAGCAGGAGCTGTTATAGTTTAATGGAGAAAGGTTGTGAGAGTGAGATACACATTATATAAAGTTAAAAGGGAGCTACATGGAAATTTAGGGAGAGAGGCCTCAATTTGTAATTGGAGGTTCCTAAGAAGGATTCACAGAGGATGGAACATCTAGCTAGACTGTAAGAGATAAGCTGAAATTCTGATAACTGGAGAAGTATAAAAACTGGTACGCCTGAGAAAGCACAGTGGGCAAAGGTTTGAGGGTGTGTCTGACAAGGCAGCATATGCAGAAGAGTGGTTTGGAAGAAAAGGAAAAACAGGCGAAACTTCTATTTGATTTTTAAAGAGAGCTAGACAAAAACTTAGGAGAAATGGACTTCATGGACAGATATGGGGCCAACTAAGATTTCTGTGCCGGTCAGTCAAGAGACTTGGTTTCTTTTAGCAAAGTATCTCCAGTAGGCAGATCAAAGGCACATTAAAGACTAGAGAATAGGGGAGGGAGACTGCTGTAGGCAGAGACCAGGGCGTGAACCAGGCAGGTGCTCTTATATAGCAATATTCTTCCCAAGTTCTTTCTACTCAGTTTACTCTTGTTAGAGTGGCATTCCTCCAGGCCTTGTCTTCGATAGCATCCTTTTCCTTTCTCATTCTTTATACACCTCTATTCCTAAGGACCCAACCAGCATGTTTGTGCTAATGACTTTTAAATCAATATTCTGAGCTGAGATCTTAAGTTTTCTTCAAAATCACCTAGCAATTGTTGGTTTTTTCTGAAAGGACACCTGGGTCCATCAATTTTCATCAAGATCGCCTAGCAAATCTGAGTTTTCAGTGAAATCTCTCCTGAGCCCACAGATGCCTGAAAGATAATATGCGACTGGCTGCTGCACAGGTGCTGCAGACTTCCATGTTGCAGACTGAAGTTCTTCCTATGTTCTTTTACACTGACGTGTTCAAATTAAAAATCTAGATTTCTTTTCCTTCACATGCCTTTAGTCTCCTTACCATTTTTGCCTTGGACTATTTCAACAATCCCTACTGATCTTATTTCCTTTATTAATACTTTTTCAAGTACTGTATTTTCAGATTTTCACACAGCTTTTTTTGTTGCTACTGGTGCCAGGACTTGAACCCAGGGACTTGCAAATGTTAAGCACACAGCTCTACCGTGGAGCCACATTCCAGCCCTAGAATGATCTTTTGAAATGGTCAATTTGATCATGTCACTTCTCTGCTTTAAACACTTTGATGGGTCCCTACTCCGCTCAGGACCTTCTTGATCCTGTCCATTTACTGGGCTTCAGCTTTTTCTCCTGCCAACCTTGCCTCGTAGGCTACGGCCATGATGCAACATGAAGCCATGTTAGGCTTTTGCACAAACTACTTCTAGTCCCTCCAATGTATCCCTTAAAAACTAGCTCCCCTTAGAACTAACTTATCCACTTCTTACTAAATGGTCTCAGTTTCCATTCACTATCCTTTCATTGTTTATTTTTTTTATTTTTTATTTTAAAAATTTTTTTTGGGTACCGGGGATCGAACTTGGGTCCTTGCGCTTGCGCAGCAGGCGACGAAACCACTGAGCTAAATCCCCGGCCCCCTTTCATTGTTTATATGTTTAGTCTTAATTGATTATTTGACTAAAGTCATTTCTACCCATTAGACTGAAAAACAAAGAC